CATGCATACATACCTACGTACATACGTATGTACGTACGTACGTGCGTACGTACGTGCATGCATGCATGCATAGCATGACACAGCATGACACAGCATGGCAAAATATGTCATAACATGACATAACCTTACGTAACATTACACCCATACATACATACCATACATACATACATACGTGCGTACATACACCCATACATACATACATACATGCATACATGCATATCCATAGATCCATGCATGCATGCATACATGCATGCATGTATACATGCAAGCACATGTCCGTGTAATTATATGTATACGTATTGAGTCAGTCTTTTCTATATACAGACATAGTCATGTATGTGTAGGCCTGCCTGGCCTGGCCTTCCCACCTACCCACCTACGTATCAAGCTACCTACCTAGACAGCACAGCATATGTCGACGCACATGCATGCCAGGCCCCGCATCTTGAGGTTAGCTTGTTGAGAGCTTGGGATGCCCAAGTCATCCGATTGCAATGCCTCCAAGCTTGAAAGATAGAGGGTGCAGCCTGCTTGGCACACGAGTCACGAGCCTCCTGGCCTGAACCCACCCTAAACCCCCAAACTCTGACGCACAAAACCCCGAGGCTTCAGGAAAACCCAGAAGGCCACAAGTCTCAACCCCCAACCTCTCAGACCCTAGAAACCCTCAAAACCCTGAAACCCCCCAAGGCTTTCAAAAAGCAAGGCCTGAGGGTAACCCAAAACAAGGAAATCTACGGGAGACTAGAGGTAGCTCTAACGCCTTGAAGGCCACGGTCTTCCTCCCCATTTCACTGGTCATTTGCGTGGTCGAGTGGAGCAGAGGGACGAGGACAAAGCCGCAGCTTTCCATAGCAGGCAGGGCCTCGCTGAGGCTTCGGGGTTTAGGGTTTTGCAGGGTTTAGGGTCTCGGGTTCAGGGTTCAAGGGATAGGGTTTTGAGCCCAAACGAAGAGCGTGGGGAGGTGAGTCGCGAGACTGCAAGACTTGTGACGGTTTGCCGGGACTAGCTGGATCTTGGGGTGGCGGCTGAGGGGTGGTTTAGCCAGTACAGAAGCACGATTCAGTTGTGGAGTTCAGGAAGCACTGGAACTGGGCAGCTTCATCAACTTTTTGTAACCAGGTGCGGCATAGGAGCCTGAAGAGACCTTTAGCTCCAAATCGAATCTTTAAGAGGGCGATGTAGCCTAGCATGTTGATGTAAAGACGTGTCAGGTGATGCTCGAGATCAGCATGCCCCTCGCACGCACAGCCTTGACGGTCTGATATCTCGGCGGTGTGAAGTGCTGTGCGAGCTCTACTGATCACCTGAAGCACATGTTGACGACACGACCACCGGTCGTTCTCGTTCATTGCCATAGTCGCATGGTGAATTGCGGCATATACAAATGAGTGCCACAGTGTACGCACATGGTGTATACAAGACATACACCCATCCATCCAGCCATCCACCCATACACCAATCCACAGACGTAAGTCCAGAATCACGGCAGATCACCGCAGTCGATCAAGCCGGCCAAGGTTGCGCGCGTTGCCAAAATCTCTGCGGATGTAAGGACGGCGGCATGTCTTTTAAGCCAATTCTCGGCTTGGGGTCTCGGGGTTTCTACAGCTCAGACCCTGAATTACGTATTGTACTACCAACTTTAGTTGATCACCCTTGCTGTCTGAAAGCATAGCTTTACAATTAGGACTTCAGAGCTGTTGGTTGTGGAGCATTACGTTTGTAGGGCATGATCCATCTCGAGTAACCAAACCTCCCCCTTCCGACATAGATGGCAACAGTATGCCTTAAGCTTCAAAAGACTTCTAATTATTTGTACTACGACTGACCTCCAGACCTTTCTGCACAGAGTGGAGCGGTGACCTTGCATGGCTTGCACGGGAACTCCCGCCCATGTCTTGAGAACAACAAGCTTCAGGTGCATCGGGACTCACTGTACTGGGTAGTCTCGCGAGTCTTTTCAGAGTTTCACTATTCTCTCACGAGCCTGAACAACGCGGTAAAGGTTGACAGATGCTCCCCTAAACCCTATAAACCCTAAACCCCTAAACCCTATAAACCCTAAACCCCTAAACCTTATAAACCCTAAGCCTAAACCCGTAAACCCCTAAACCCGTATAAACACCTAAACCCTAAACCGTGTACTTATGCTGACAGGAGTCAGGCAAAAGAAGGCGCCTTGGTGAGGAGTTCGGCCTTCTGCACTCCCTGGGAGTGTGAGAGATTTTTTCTCGGGATCCTTTACTTCAATTGGGGAGTCGGATACGTGGACCTAGGCTTTAGGGTTTAGGGCCTTGCCTGTTTTTTTGCTTTTTAGGTTCGGGTCTGGCTTTTGGGGGAAGTGAAGGGCCGAGAGCTAGATTAGTTGCACTTCGTGATCCCTTCTTCTGATCTATCCGCGCGACCCCCAGACCCCAAACCCCAAATTAGACAAAAAATGACGAACATGGCTCAACTTCAGCAGCCGAAACCTCTAAAAGGGTGCTGCTGCCCTGACGACCAACCACAGCTTGGCAGCTCCCCCTGCATCCCGGAGCCTCCTATGACGTCCTAACCCCCGAAAGCCCCATGTCCTCTACCCAGACCCACGGAAGGATCTAGAAAGTAGATCCCCTAATTTGGGACCCTAACTATGAAAGGGTACCTTAAAGGAACCCCCCTTAAGGGATCTACTTTTTGGATCCTCCCGGGGCTCTGGGTACCCCCCAGAGGCCCAGAAACCCCGTGCCAGGCGGGCTCTTCACCTCACGCCCGGACCGGGAACGCATCAGCTCGCGAATCATGCGACACTCGGCAGAAGTGGAGCCGACAAGAGTCGTCGTACATTAGGGCATCGTAAGGTGCCTTGTAGTCTTGTATACGAACCTCATGATGCGTCGTAAAATCATAGAACCCTAGTACCTCACAGTACCTTTTGTGTTTTTCCCCGGAGCGCCTTGCATCCCTTGCAGCTCCGCGCAAGCGGACGGTC